AGGGCACATCCGGTCGCTGGGAAGAATTTGCAATTCTGGCTTTTCTGGTACGACCCCCTCCTCATCCTATCTGCTATCTTTACCAGATTTCCTCATTTTTCTTCAAACTTCCTTCCACTTTTTTTTTGATTGCTCCAACTTCTCCCTCCCCCCTAATCGCTCTACGTTCGGGTTGGGGGGGGGAGATTGAGAGAAAAGCGGGAAAGGGCTGATTCGCACGTATGAAACGGGGAAAACCGCGAAAAGCCAACGACTAGGAAAGTCTTTTTCACAAAGGGAAAAAAGTTTCTTGAGGCCAGGGGCGAACCTTCGTTGCAGTCTTGAGGCCAGATACGACCCCTCCTTGTAGCGATCAAATACGACCCCCCCCGCTGGGGGTCCCAGAGCCTAGGACGCGCTCTGCTTCCTAATTCCATCGTGCAACTCACAACAGGTTCAAACTTTTCAGGGCATCAGTTTTGCCGTCAGGGAGAGTATGACCCTGAACGCGATTATAGCAATCGTTTGGCGCTGACGCCATCGCCTTTAGCGTGAACGTCCGGGTTTTTGCTGTCCAGCATTGCGGTCGGAGAGCTCATTTACCCTTGGGAACATTCTTCTGACCAAGTCTACCTGGGAGCAATTAGTGACATCAAGCAGGAGAAGCTAGTTTAATTCCTTTGGAAATTTGGACCCTTCATAGCCAAAACTGCTCCCTGCAGATCGGCATCCCATGACGATTTGGCCTTTGGAAAAGCAGCCCATTATTGGGTGAATAGTACCGGAATTGCCTGAAAATCACGAATCCCATGATCCTTCTGATAAAGTTTCTTGTTACCCGAACTGAAAATTGTATGAAAAAGTGCAGTTTGAAAAGGAAAGTTAAGGACAGCTGATAGCTCATAAACGGTTCTTAAACCCTACGAAAAAACGTCTCTACGTGCCGGCTGCAAGCATCCGAAAAAACCAACAGAGATATTGCTGAATAGTTTTTTCCCGTGCTGCGGACCCATCTGACTTGCACTTTCGAAGAATTCAGACAACTGATAACGATGGCGCCTATAAACGATTAACGAGCAATGTCTTAGCTGAACTTAGCGCTGAATAAGCTGTTTTTTCGCCGCTCTCTGCCGTCATCGATTTATCAAGCCGATTTTTCGGTGCCCAAATAAGATTTCCCTTTCGAGAAAGATATTTCAAGGAGGAAGGGCGAGGGAAACCACACGAAAAGACGCTGGTTTAGGGGTGGTAGCGACGCCCCCCCCCTCGTCACCTCTCTATCCTACACCCACCGTCGTCGTAATTTCCCCAACTTCCTACCCATGTTCTATCCACCTTCGCTGTTTTTTTCTCTGGTACGGTCTCCAACTCTTCCTTCAGCAAACATCGCCTGCAGGAGTGGGGGCGTAATAGTGCGCCGATAAAGCACGAAATAAGCGGAAAAGTCACAAACTAAAACATGTTTGCGTGTTCAGAAAACATAATATGACCTTTACCTCCAACCGATTAAATACAACCCTCCCCCTCCCCTCCCTCCCCCCAAAGTACGACATCCTCGAGAACAAGGTGTAAGACTTTCGGGAAGTCTAAATGAAGGGTGAAAGTGGAACAATGGGACCCACTTGCACCAGGCTCGCGTGGGAGAGCGCACATGGGACTTGAGAACAGAAGGCTAAGCTAAGCTCCAAGACTCTTTGTGAAGGGCAACTGCCTCCCAATTTCCTGATTTTTAGCTTAGCCCATGTCAAATGCACTAAGCTCCCTCACCCCCCCCCTCCATTGTGCTCATGTGGGCTGACAACTCGGATTGTTGTCTGGATGCGCTCTGAGAGTTGAACAGGAATTAAACGAGCTTCTTATTGGAAGGTTAACAAAATCCTTAAGAAATGTTGGGCTTGGTCGGGGGTACTTTGCAATTTCTGTGGATTGCTAGTTCATATTTAACAACAGGTCTCGCCTGTAAATCCTGTAAACCCGACCTGCAAACTCCCATGAAATGTAATATGATGCGAGTGGGCCACTTCGGTTATAAGAGTTCCCAGGTCTTAGCAGGGTAACCCATAGAAGCTTAGTATTAGCTGAGTGCCATGCGGTGCTCCCACCAAGCCGAACTGTGCTGTTATTTCCTCAATCAATTTCGCCGTAGGAAGATTTCTGTCTTGTTTTATTGTGAAAAGATAGTAGATAGTGAATTTCTTGGTGGCCCATGGTGGCCTATAGGGCCCCTGATGACACTTTTCTTTTCAGAATCTGGTCATTCTTTGGAATCAGCTGTTTCACCACACTCTTCCAATGCTACAGAGCATACTGTACCCTCTTCAGGTAACTTATTACAATTTTAGGCCCTTACTATTTTGGCATTCGCACCAACCTACACCTCTTGAAGACCGAATTTTCCAGCGCACTCGAACCGATTTCGACATACGCCGAACAATTCTCACGATATTCCGTGACAAAGTACTCATCAAGGTAGCTAGCTCTCGTGGTACGATATCCTCCGGTCACTAATTGAAATCGTTTAGATCCTTCGCGATGTCGAAGATCGGATACCCATCCTTGAACCAATGCTTTACACGGTTCTCCTCGAAACGGACAGTTCAAGTGGGGAGACCCGGCAGTTCGCCGATATGGCAGCCCGGATAATGGGCAAGAAAAACGTAAGTAATCCTGCAATTTTCTGTGTCCACCCAGAAAACTCCAAGGTTTTTTTTCAGAAACGCCCGGTGGCAGTCGTTTCCCGGACACGTTCCAAAACGTTGCCCGAAAAACCTACCTCAGCCAAAAAGGTCACGTGGAGCGATATGAGAAAGTCGGCCACGTTCAGTGCATAGTAACCCCTCCCCCCCTTTCCATGAGTATGTTTGTCTGAGGTCGTATGCTGTCCCTCGTCAATTGGGTAATATTCATTTCTAAATTCTGAAAGAGGTCAAAAAATGACTGGCTAGCGAAATGGTTGTGGGTCAAGAGATCCGAGTCGCGGCGGCACGCTCGGCGTGCGCGGCATTCGCCCGGTTATATGACAAGACAGTCGTGGTGTGCCGCGCTTGAGAGACGAGTTGTTCTGCCTGGCCTTTCGAATTTAAGTGTTAAAGCGACGGGAAAATACAATATCGCTCGTCATTGAGTCTGCCGCTGCTCAAATTGCCGCGCTTGACTGCTCGCAATTTGTCGCGTCGCCGCGCGCGACAACGCGGCCAATTACGATTGTTTTGTCCGTCTTATATTTTCCCTGGATGACATGGCTTACTATAGCACATTCACAATGAATCTTCTGGAAATGCCGTGCTTGCCGCGTTCCTTTCGCCGTACCGCCGCGACTCGGATCTCCTGACCCGCACGCTCTAAGGACAGCAAACGACCTCTGCCCACAAAGCTTTTACCCGTGTACACTTCCTGTATACCTCGTATCCAGTCACTGTGGCGTGCGCATCCCCCGCTCATCTCAGCCGCGCCTATACAATACAGGTGTTTTGTAACTTTATACGCATTTATACCGCTGTAATATTATAAAAATGTTATTTAATAAGTTTTGTATTGAATTAATTCATATAAGCATAAACGTTCATTCGTCAACATGAATTTCTTAATGCACGACACACAATGAGACCACAGTATCGACAATAACAATAATATCCATAATAAGTGCAAATGGCGGAGCAAAGGGGGCGGATTGTTGCATAGAGGCGGGGGGCATTTTGGGTTACATTCTATGATACAGAAAGCTACCTATGCATGCAGGGAGTAGAAGAGATGAGAGGTAGGGGAAAGAGCGTTTCAAAGGCAGAAATGCCTTTCAATTCGACGTTCACACGGTTCACATTCGACTCGACAACAATAGTGAAATTTGCAATTGCATTGGTCCACTTCAAAAAACACTCGTCGCTCAAATCCCCGATTGCAGCACAGCTGAAATAACTTTTGGATAACATACAGCTTCTTCTTCCTGGACAGGGTACAAGTATTGAGATCGCGGTACGACCTGTCGGCAGTCCTCCCTCCCACTATTACCTCCTCCTATCCTTCTCAGAATTCCCTTCTTCCAAGAAGAATCCTGGGGCTTTGCTGTTCCAGTGAGACTTTTAGGGCCAACTATCTACCAGTTTTCATTCCGGTGCTGTCAGAATTCAGCATTTTGCTTAAATTCCTCTCAAAGAAAGGGAAAGCTTTTAGCGGGCATTATGTATAAGAAGATGAAACACAAAGATCAGCGAGCAAAATGCTTCCCTTCGCTCAACTTGATGCTGGAAAAGCTCTTTCAGAGGCAAATACGCGACTCCCCCCCCCCTTTATGGGCATCGTTAACGCTGCTGGGACGTTGCTCTTGACATATTTTTCAGCAGAACTGTCACCAGCTGGCAACGTCTACCGCTTGAGAGGTGACGTTGGCCATTCGGCGGCCCGTTTGTGGCGCAAGAAATTCCACGGGCGGATCGAGCGTCAAAAAATCTGGGCGACGCAGTGATGTAGGATCTGCAAATCGTTCGATCAAAAAGCGAGAAAATCGTTGAGACGTGAACTTTGTAGTCGTAAGTTAACTAGCTTTCAATGTAATGAGAAGCCTTGTACTGTTTCGCAGTGCGAGAGTATGTTAAGATCTGAGGCGCAGTTCAGGCGACGGGGGGCATTGTGCAGTTTCGCTGCTTTACAGTTCGGGCTTTCAAATGCACTTCCGTATACAAACCTCGTGAACTCTGGTTGAAGCTCCGAGCAACTCGTCTAGCACGTTAGTTTGAATCTGTTAACCTGTTATGGCACCTTGTTTGAATCTGTCACTGTTGTGAAGCTCACCAATGCCTCATTAGACGGAGTCGACATGCGGTGGGAAAGGACGAATGACAAAATGCCCCCACGCTCCCGTAGCCAAACTGCCCCAGATCTGACGATAGCCGGATGGGAAAAACGATGAAGATGTTGGTGTAGATTAATCCCTTTTTGCCCACTTTCCTTCAGCACCGTAGTGATATATTGAAAGTTGGCCTGTGCAATGCCTTACGAAGCTATAAACATTCAGTGTCTCATCCAGGGCTCCTCGTTGTTGGGGAATTTCCAGCAGGTTGGCTGGGTCGTATATTGGCGCGAGAAAATTTTTTGATGGTTGGTAGTGTTTTCTTGTCCCATTGACGTTGTGGAAGGGGGGTGATGTCGTATTCGGTTGTTGTTGAGATGGGGGTCGTATTTCCCTTCCGACTCTTCCTGACTTTTTTTTTTTTCGGGGGGGGGGGAGGGGTCGTACGGGCTCGACGAAAAATCCCCAGAACCAATGAGTGCCTGTCCCTCTCTGCATAGGAGAACTCACCTCGATAAAATACCGTGAGTTGCGAAAGGTTCAATTGGTTCAAGCACGAGATAGCTTTGGTTTTCGCGCGTACATCGGAGCGGGAATGGGGAGCTGGTTTTAGGGGAAAAGCAGCACCAGCCACGATTCAAGATTATGGTTAGATGTTCGCAACCCTTTCGGTTCAAGTTGGACCACCTCTCCACTAGATGTCAAGTGGTTTCTAACAATTTTGACCTGTCGCTGAAACTCGGGGAGGTTATGAACCCCACAGAGATTAGGGATTGCGGCTAGCTGCGACGTAGAGTTTGATATTCTACCCGAAAAATTCCATAGCGCTTTCAGGAAAAATAACGAAACTAATTTTTTTAACATTCAAAGAAGTCCTCACCAGGTCTGCGTTAGTGTGCCGCTTGAACTGTGAGTTCTTCATGACAATACGAGGTTGATCGTCATCTTCTTGCCTCAATTCGTTCACTGCTGAGGTCTCCCTCCCAAATTTTGTCTTTGATAACTCATCGCCAATCCCCTACTGCCATTTCTTCCACATTGGCGGAGATTAGTCCCCACACGTAAACTCCTGAATGTCGGCAAGGTATCCAACAGGTTTTTATCTCATCATGAGACCATCATTCCATGGCATTTTGCACGGAGTCCCGACGTCGCTAAGCTTTCTCCAGGTACTGAGCCATTTAGTTTTTCAATGAATAAAATGGAACTGGAAAAAAGTTGCTCTCAATTTTAAACCGCTCTACACAAATTCTGGCAACTTTTCAAGCCAACTGTGTGTAGCAAAGTCGTTTGCCATTCTCTAACGTAAGGAACGTCCCCAGCATTGATTGCGCTACATTTTCGGCGGGGCCAATAAAAAAGCGTGAGACGGACATCGGAGAAGTCTCGCGGTCGTCAGTATTTTGAATATAAGTGTGCGGTCAAAAGAGGGGGGGGGCTGTATTGAAAGGAGACACCAAAATGAAGCCCAAATTAATTAATTAGTTGCCAATGAAAACGAGTGAGTGCTCCGAGCTCATTTTTATTTTTTTTTCTATTTTCAGTCGTAAGAATGTTAGGTTATGGGCAAACGCGAGATCCCAGGTCGGGACTCGAACCCACGTCCACTACTGATTAGAAGAGGGCGCTATTCATTACACCACCGTACCGCTCTTACCCTCAGCTCAACAGCATTCATCATTCTAAAACAACAAAAGGGGGTGCAGTTGGTTCCGGTTCGAGCGGTCCTCTTAGTCTCACCTATCTGGTTCTAATTTCAGTCGAAGAAGGGGTCAAAGTCCCATTCAGTCTGACCATGTTTGATCCATGCCTGAGTAAGCACCAGCTTATCAGAACCCAGTATTAGCTACAAAAACAGACGGGTTGTGCCGAACTGGCCAGGGTCCGGGTTCACGTAAACTCAACTCTAATTTTGGCAGAAAAACCATTAATTTTGGACATTCTCCACGATATCGCAGTCATTACAGGGTCATAAAAAACGCTGAACTCATAAATATTTCCGATCTGATGAGCCGGTCGAACATCGATTGACAGCTTTCGATAAGGGAATGGAAAGGCTGCCATTCCAGCGGTGGCCAAAAGGCATGGTGCAGCGAGCTCTGGGGTCGAATACGTATGTTGAAAGGGGAATTCCCTTGAGAATGGCAGTTAATGTTATCTCTGTAGACATGGGAAATGATGGACATTTTCTCTGCAGAAACTGGTCCAGGGTATGGGCTCAGTTGATGATGCCCTGTTCCCCTGTTCTCACAAATAGCCATGTAAAGGATTTCTAAGTGCAGTGCGGAGCGCATCTGCTATAGCTGTGAGGGCCCAGACAGAAAAAAGGCATGGACGTACAGTCCTCATCATTACGTACTGTCGGGGCGGTTCAGTGCGGCTGCGTTTGGCGCGGGGCCAAAGTCGTTCTGCACCAGTTGTTGAAGCGGGCAAGTGACATTACTGTATTATATCCTCCGTATTACTCGTTTTCTACCACTTTTTGTCGCATACGCGTTTCAACAAAAAGGCTGAGAACGGCTTCAACAGTGTGCACACTCATACTGGCTGACACGCCCCATGATGAGGACTGTAGGAGGCTTCGCACGGTGAAGCGCAGCCGTCGTCGGGCGAGGCAGGTCTTGGCTAGAGGAATTTTAGCGAAATACACCCTCCTTAAATTTTCTTCCTCTCCTAGGACCCACTTCCCTGAATTCCTGTCTTTTCCGAATATTGCACTTCTAAATTACAGCTTCCTGTTCGTGGTTAATGTCGTAAGCTGCTGTAATGGCACAAATACTAAATTAATATTTACTATATTCAATGACTATTTTAGTACAACCGGAGAATTTTCGCAATAATTACCAGTATTGCTCTTATGAACTAGCTGAAATTTGGACCTGAATTTGGTGTTTCTTCTGCAATACCTTCTCCCCCCCTCCCCCTCCCCCCCCCCCCCACCTAGTCAGTTTCTCTCCACTGTTTTCTCCATGATTTCCTGGGTTGAGCGGAGAGGGGATGAGAGGGTTGAGAAGTCAAATAACACCCCCCCCTCCTGAATACCGTACGCATAAGGGCCTGTTCGCCGGGAACGCCTCGTGCTGTCTCTTCAGTGATGCTTTGAATATCGTGAAATAAGAATGATGGAAAGCATTTCAAGGATCTTTGGACTTACTCCTCTCGCATCAGGGGCCACTTTATGACACACGTGAAAGGGAAATGGGTTGCCATGTGGCTCGGGCTTCTAGAGCTTGTCATTCAACGTTTTTCCTCAGAATTATCAGAGAAAGTGTATTGTTTGAACATATAATGAGCAGAAACCGTCCGATAGCCTTTCTGTCGTATGACATTTGTAAGTCTTCCAAGAATTTGCCCTCATTATCAGTGCAACAGATCAACTTGTCAGGTGCAGTGCATCGCGTTTCTTGCACTGGCAATTGCTTCACAAGCTTAGGGGCCCGACCACTATTGTTGGCAAAGAATCGAAGGAGCTGCTCGGCTTGGGAGGAGCATGATGAGCATTTCCCAGTTTCTTTTGCTAGTTCCTGTTAAATTAGATGTCTCACCTTGATAAGACCTGTAGATCCTTGTCAAATTGAGCGAGGCTCCTGCTATTGCACATTTTACCAGGAGCTGACAGGTTTCCCACTGCATTGGCAGTGAATAGGAATATGTCCCCACCAAGTCGAATAGTACTGACCCGAATACTTCTGAGGAGGCTCAGAGAAGAAGGTGACCACATTGGTCACCTACGTCTTCGATGGCAGAAACCTTGGAGTTTCATTGCGCTGCAGCTTCTGACTGGGATACCTCTAAAGGGTATTTTCACTGACAAGATGCCTCTAGAGACTTAGGGTCTAACTGTTTTGGCATATCTCTAGTTGGATCGCTTGATTGCAACCCTTTTCAAGCTTCCCTCTATTTCCACTTTCGTGAATTTTTCGCTGTTCCTGCTCCGATTTCGGCATCTTCACCGCCCTTTGCCCAGTTTTGGGGCTCCTTTCTGTGATGTTATGCTTCAATCAGGAGATAATGCAGTTGTTCGGACAACAAGTCATGACGTACACCGGTGACATCACCAGTGTTCCAATTAAAAGGGAGCATCTACAAAGACAGTGGGCAGGGAGTCGCAATAAAAACTCCGGGCCAAGAGGAATTCCGGGAATCCGAAAATGAACCACAAATGCTTATCAGTCACGTGGGAGGTAATCCCATTTATGAGGTTAGCCTCCCAACTAGGGCTGTGAGTACGACAAGTACAAAAAAAAACTGCGTGCTGTCATCACGTGAGCTGATCTCGTGGAACTTCATCCGCCTCGGGGGCCTCGCGTATGTTTGTGAATTTGTCGCATA